GGACGGGGTGGGGGAGATCACGGCGATGGCAACCCCGGCGGATTAATGGCGTTGGGGGGCGGGTCCCGGGGTCAGCGGCGGCGGGAGGGTCCCGGCCGCAGGGAGGGCTCGGGGTGAGCCCGTGGGGCGGGGACATGGGACAGGCGGACAAGGGACACCGGGGAGGGGAACCGTCCGGTCACCCTGGGGTGGTTCCCGCCTCCCCCCCGCCTCTGGCCCAGGCCCGTCGCTCAGGCGCTGTCCCCTCCGCCGGGAGCAGGAGCGATGCCCGCCCCGGAGAGCAGGTCGGTTTTCGAGGCCGCCAAGGACCCCGTCCTCCTGCAGGGACTGACCCTCGTCACCGGAGCCGCTGCGGAGGCGTGGGGGGCTGACCCGGCACCTGCGAGGCACGGTAAGGGGGGGCTCCGCAGGGGGGGTTGTTCGGCCAGGGTTATGTCCCCCAGCCCCAGGCTGCAAAGAGGGAGCTCTGTCCCAGCATAGCTGGAGCGGCCGCCCTGGAGGTTGGCCGTGGGAGCTGCCGGGTGGGTGGGTCAATGGACTTTTCCTCAGCATCACCCCAAGGTCCTTCGACAACCGTAGGGCTTTTTGGGGTGGCTGAAAAGAGATCCGGGAGGCCCCGCTCCTTGTGGTGCATCCTGGGGAGCCGCCTGTGCACTGCCCTTCTTTCTTCTTCCAGAGAAACCTGCAGGCGCCAGCAGTGAGGAGAAGGCCCATGGTGTCCCCGAGGTGCCGGAGCGAATGTGCTGCTCGACCTGCGGGCAGGTCTTTGGCAGCCGGGAGGAGCAGGTGAGCAGGGCTGAGTGGCCAGCGTGAGGTGGGAGTGGGGCTGGCACAGCCCTGTTGTGGTTCAGCCCAGCACCGGCTGCTTCTTGGAGCTCCGCTGCCGACGTCTTGTTGGGATCTGGCAGTCAGGCCCTGCGTATTATTGCTTAAAATGTCATTTACTGGAGGTAAATAGTACATGCAGCACAGGCCTGCTCCTTTTCAGGTTAACTGTTACATAGCTAACTCCTTAATGTAGTGTAGTCTTCCAGTCAGGATCACTGCAGGGTCCCAGCATTGGTGTAGCCCTCAGAGTCTGTCACCTCAGGGCATTTTGGGGGTGGGAGTTTCCATGGACCGCCCAGACCCTCTTGCCTTATCCCTGTTTCCCCACAGACTGAGCACTACCGACTTGACTGGCACCGCTTCAACCTGAAGCAACGACTCCTGGGGCGCCGGACACTGCCAGTAGAAGCGTTTGAGGAGAAGACCCGCACAGGTGAGGAATAAGGCTGCCCCCAGCAGAGCCCAGAGGCTGTCAACAACATCATTGGAACTGTTCTGTTCAGGGATGAAACGCTGGCTATCTCTGTGAGCTCAGGGTCCCTTTATTCTGCCCCTGTGGGGTCTTCTGGGGGTCCAGCACTGTTCCTGAGCCCTGCTGACTCGTTATGGACAGAAAGAAGTGTTCTCCCTGAACCCCTGCCTAGGCAAACCTGGAGATCCAGAGCCCCAGACTTCTATCTCCCCAGCCCACAGCCCCCTGTGGTACTTAGGGTATTGGACAGGACATTCCTGGGGTCGTGGGCTAGCCCTTGGAGTCGCCTGCAAAGTTTTGGGGAGGCTGTTGGTTAATCTTTGCCCTGCTCCACTGCTTCATTATCTTTCCCTTGCAGGTGATGTTTCCAGCATCTCAGGATCTGATTCCGAGAGCTCAGATACAAGCAGTGAGTCAGAGTTGCTGCCCTCTGCCAGCGACAGCCCTGGGACCCCCCCGGCCCCCCGTTCCCACAAGGTGCTGCTCCGCAATGCCAAGGGCCAGCTCATCTCCGCCTACCGCTGCGTGCTGGGCGTCGGGAAGGCAAGTCACAGCCCAGCTCGTTGGGTGGATGGCACTGGGGTGTAGATGTTGTCTGACAGTCACCCACATCCCAAGATGGGAAGGGTCATCTCTGGTGCCAGGTCAGAGCCCCAGCCTTGCTGGTGACCTGGTTTTTTGCTCTGGGGTGCTCCCAGAAACCTGCTTCTGGAGCCGGAGGAGGGGCTGATCTCTGTTCTGGGGGACAGCAAGAGGTGGTGAGGTGATCCCATGGGTGCTAGCAGGGGTGTCTATGTATCAGGGTGGCATCGAGGAGCCAGTGGAGCTGACAGCGTCGCTGCAGAGCCTCGGTGAGAGCACCTGCTGGGTTGTGCTGATGATGGGCGGCGGGCATTTTGCAGGAGCTGTGTTCCGGGGGTGAGTAGAGGGGGACAGAGCTGGGTTTTTCCTGCTGGGTATGGTCAAGTGGGTCTAAGTGTTGGCCGCCCATCCCCTCCCTACTCCTTCATCGCAGTGCTTACCACGGCCTGGGCACCCACACCTCCTGGTCTTGGCTTGAGAGTTGGCTAAGCCCAGTTGCGCTGCAAGAGCTGTATTAATCTTTAAGGCCCCAGGGGAAAGCCTCAAGCCTTCCGGGGAGCATCAGCTCACCTCCTCTCCATGCATGGGCCCCTGTTGCTCATGCCTGCCCCTCTCTGCAGCCCCCAGGTGCAGGAGCACAAGACCTTCCACCGCTACACGGTGCGAGCCCGGCGTGGCACGGCCCAGGGCCTACGGGATGCCCAGACCCCAGGATCAGCACCCAGGTCAGCCGGAGCCTCCCTGCGGCGTTACAACGAGGCTGCACTGCTCAAGGTGAGGACTCACCACACCACTGGGCTCTTGGCAGGGAGATGTGGTCATGGCTGGCTCCACGAGGTGGTACCACACTGCTGCTGGAGGGCATGGGTGGGGTGTGAGCTCTCAAAGAGGTTCAGGGCCCAGTTGAGGCTGCTCTGTCCCGGGTCTCTCCCTACTCCAGAGCTACCTGTGCCCATGCAGTGTGCTCAGGACCCCATAGTGCCTACCCTTCCTCCCCAGGATATTCAGGAGCTGCTGGCAGCCTGGGCACAGCACCTGAATGAAGCTCAGCGCATCTTCCTCCGGGCTCCTCGTCACAACCGTGCGCTGCTCTTCGGCGGCAGGAACCCACCTCTCACCCGGGGTGACCCTCGCATCTGCCACATTCCTCTCAGCACCCGCAGGGCCACCCTGCGAGAGGTGCTGCGAGTCCACACCACGCTGGCCAACCTGCAGGTGTACGGTGAGTCAGACCAGCCCCAGTGCCTGTGGTTCAGAGCAGATGGGGTGACTCAATCCCTCGTGCATTAGGGGATGCTGCCCTAAGGGGTGGAGGTGCTAGCTCACCAACCCGCAATCCCTGGAGACACGGGGTGTTCCCTGTCCCCAGGCAATGACAGGAGCACCCTTGCTGCCCAGGGAAGGACACACCATTAGAGGACATCACTGGATCCCCCCGGAAGGGCTGGCAGAAGAGGCAGCAGAAAGCACAGATGGATCCCTCACAGGAGGACCCAAGTGGTGAGTTGAGCCATGGAAGGAGACATGACTCTGAGCAAGCAGAGGGGTCTGGTGTTATGGCATGGGACCAGATTTGCAGCCCTATGACAGGGCCTGGCACCTCAGTGGGATTCTGCAGACTGTTGCCTTGTGCTGGGCAGAAGGGCAGGGTGTGCCTGCCTGGCTGAGAGCCCAGAGTGATTCATCCTGTGTGTGGTGGGGCCTCAGGCCCTGTCTTGTCACCCCCCTCAGCTCCAGAGGAGGAGGAAGAGGAGGAGGAAAGCCCTGCAGGGGAACTGGAGACTGTGGAAGTGACACTGAGTACCTTGGACCTCCGGGAGTTTGAAGTGATGCCCAAGCGAAACCGCAAAAGGAGGAAGAAGAAGGACAAGAAGGTGGAGAAAGGTGAGGGGGAAGGACTGACAAGGACAGTGTAGGAAGGCACTGGGGAAGGGACTGCTGTGGCTGGGATGGAGGTTGGCCCTGGTGCCCTTGCCCTTTTCATCACTGTGTGCTCCCTGTGCAGGGCCCTGTGCTGAAGAGACGGGATGCCATGGTACCCAGTCTGGGCAGCCTGGCCTGGGGCTGGCAACGGAGCTGCAGGGGGAGGCTGGGGCTGAGCCTCTTCCCTGGGGCGATGGAGGTAAGTAGAGTCAGGAGCTGGGCTGGGTGGATGCCTGCCCATTTGCTGGTGGCTTTGCAGCAGGGTGAAGAGCATGTTGTCACACAGGTGCCCAGAGCAGCTGGGTGTGGGGTGGCTGTAGTGCAGCCACATGCCTTCAAGTGAGCCACGAGTTCAGAGCAGTAGCTCTGAATTGGGGGGGGGCAGACGTCACCCCCAGGTGTTTCGGGGGGGATTGGAGTGGGTCTTACCCTTGGAAGGAAAGGGCTTGGCTGCTGCAAACAGTGCCCAGCAATGCCATGGCACATTGTCACAAACTCTGAAGGTGCTGGAGATCTTGCAGTGCCCGAATCAGCTAGTAGGACCATGCTTAGCAGCGCTGTGTGTGTTTCCTTGTCAAATCAGAGCACTGCTCTGCCCAGGGAGCCATCAGACTCCCCTCCTGTTCTTCCCTCATAGGACACCCTCAGACCCAGCTCCGCGATGCCCTGTTCACCGCGTGCAAAACGGGGGATGTGGGGACGCTGCGGCACCTCCTGGGTGTGCCAGAGAGTGGGGACCTGCCGGGGGACAGCAGAGATGGAGAAGAGGACACACAGCCACTGGATATGGCCCGCTCCCTGCTCAACCAGCCCGTGGATGAGCGTGGCTACACCCTGCTCCATGTGGCAGCACGGGCTGGGAAGGCTGAGGCTGTGTGCCTGCTGCTGGAGGCGGGTGCTGACCCTGCCCTCAGGTATGGCCACAGGGCACCCAGTGTTTGATGAACATCCCCAGTCTGGGAGCCCAGCAATTCCCTCCTGTATCAGCCATGGGAAACTGGTGCCAGCCTTGTCCTGGGACAGGCAGGGTTGGTCTCTACCAGCCAGGACTTCTGGGTTTGTTACGGGAGGTTTAAGAGCTGATCCACCATTCTCTCTGCCCACCTGGTCTGGTGCAGCAGCAGGCGGGCACTGCTCCCAAGCGCTCCCTGGTTTATTGGTAGGCAGTTCAGGGGGTAGGGATGAGATCGCCCTTTGCAGGGCATTTGAGATGCAAGAAGGGGAGGATTTGGGGGGTTCTGGTGTAGGGATAAGCAACTTTCCCCTCCTTGGCTGCAATACCCTGGCATGCAGTACCTGTTGCACATCTCTGGGGAGTTGCTGGGCTCACAGCCCAGGGGGACACGGGCAGTAAGATGTCAGGGTGAGCTGGTCTTCCTTGTCTCACAGAGATGGGCAGGAGAGGACTCCCTACTGTGTCTCTGCTGACAAACTGACCCGCAACGCTTTCCGCAAGTTCATGGTGGACCATCCAGACAAGTATGACTACAGCCGTGCCAAGGTAGGTGCCTGCCCTTGCCTTCTGGGGGCTGGGGGACCCCAGAGCAAAGCGCCTCTCGCCCACTCGTGCTGTTGCCACTGGCTCGGTGGGAGATACTGACTCCCCTCTGCCCCCAGGTGCCAGGACCCCTCACGCAGGAGATGGAGGCCAAGAAGCTGGAGAAGAAGCGGGCACAGAAAGCCCAGCGGAAGCAGCGGGACCAGGCGAAGCGGGAGGAGCAGCAGCGCTGGGAGCAGGAGCAGGAAGAAAAGCAGCGATTCGCAGCCCTGTCCGACAGGGAGAAGGTGAGGTTGTATGTGGGGAAGGGCATCCAGCCTGGCTGGGGCAGTGCCGATGGGGTGGGCTCTGGGCACAGCGGCTCCCAGGGGCTGGGGCTGGTGCTGAGCTGTCTCTCTGCTCCCCAGAGGGCCCTGGCTGCCGAGCGAAGGCTGGCTGCGCAGCTGCAGGACACTGGCACTGCTCTTGCCAACATCAGGTAACAGCTCCACAAACACACTCCTCTCCCACGTCAGCTCAGCTGTTCCCTGCCCTTCTTGCTCCAGTTCTCATTTCCAGCCTAAAGCTATTCCTGTCCGCTCGATTCCCAGCAGTGCCTGTCTAAAAGCTTTCTTGCTCTCTTCCCCTGCCCTGCCCCTGAAATATTTTGGAAAGGACAACTTGGTCCACTTGCAGCCACGATCTATGACAAGCCAATCCCCCAGCCGCTCCTGCGCCCCTCACCCTGCATCCCATGTGGTGAGAACCCGACAGAAAGACCCTTCCTTATGCCAGCTGACAGGCTTGTGGGCAGCCAGCCCTACCTGTGCTGATACGGGCAGGGGTTTTACAACCTACTGTGGGGACAAATTCCCCCCATTTTTAGCCTGCCTCAAGGTACCTCACCCTCGGCAGCTCCTGGCCAGGCTGTTGGGTGAGCCCTGTGGGACCAGAGGAGCCCCAGCTCCCTCCTGCTGTCTCATGTCACAGCCCAGGCACTGACTCCTCTCTGCTTCTCTAACCCCCTTGTGAGTGTCCCCTTCACTCAGGGCCACCTCTGCTCTTTCCTGCAGCCGCTGCTGGCATTGTGGCGAGTCCTTACTGGGCAGGATCCCTTTCCATTATCTCGACTTCTCCTTCTGCTCCACAACCTGCCTGCAAACACACCGCCGGGCCCGGGCCAGCCACACGTAAGGCTGGGGACTGCTGCCACTTGCCAAGGACCGATGCGGTGGAGACACGGCTGAGCGCTGGGTGTGCAGCGCGGGAAAGCCTGTGGAGCAGTGCTTGTTGGAGGGACCCAGCTGGTCATGTCATTCTTCAGGGCAACTCTGACAAGGCTCAAGGCAAGAATGTCACTCTGGTGGTGACTCTGGGGACATTACGATCAGGAGGTCCCTACATACTAGTATGAAGGACCAGGACTGCGCCATGGCCCAGCTGCAGCGTGATGTGGGGTATCTTGCTGCCCGCTTTTCTCATGGCTACCTCGTAGGCTGCTGCCCGTGGCAGTGGGACAGATCCTTACCTATCCAGACCCTGCAGCCCTGAGGTACCTGCAGCTGTGCCTCTGGGCACCCTTTGGGCTGTGCTTTGCCCTCTCCTCTCCTGGCTGCCATCACTGTTTCAGCCGTATCACATTATCAACTACCTCCTCTGTCTGCATCATCAATAAAGAGGTGCCTTGACCCCCCGAGGTGTGGGGGGTGTCAGCAGGAGCACTGGAACTATTTGGGATTAACGTGCAAAACAAGCTCAACTCTGAGCCCCTTTCTCTTAACACAGACCCTGCCTGGCCCCGGGGGAGGGAAGGAGCTCCAGCTGTCCGTGCCAGGACACGTGCCCTGTACTTGGGGCCCTGCAGCCCCTGTGCTTCACCAGACCCCTGCCACCTCCCCAGCGAGAAGCAACGCCAATTCCCCCTAGCCCTGCATTTATTCTGTGGCCGCGAGGGTCCTGTTGAAAAGGGGTCGGTCGAGAAAAAGCAGAAGGGGGGAAGGGGGTGCCCCCTCCAGCTCCAGCACTGTGATGTTGTTGGGGCGGCCAACGTGCAGCACCGAGCCGGGCACAAAGAGGGTCTGCTGGGGCCCACGAGGGGGCCAGTACCGGCCCAGGTTGAAGCCGTTTATCCACAGCTGGCCCTGGAAGTTGGAGATGGGATTGAGCTCTGCCCCTCTCCACCCTCACCCTGTCTCCTGGCTACACACCGCCTTACCTTGGTCCAACCTGGGAACTTCACGAAGGTGTCCCAAGCGATGCCAGGGGTCTCAAAGGTCCCAGTGTAGAAGGCTGGCCCTGCTCTGCTCCTGCTGCTTGATTTCGGCAGGGCAGCGTGGGGCCAGCCCTGCTGGATGGCAGTGTCTATGGCCAGGGGGTAGATGAGCCAGTTGCTGAGAGGGCTTGAGTCCAAGGAGAGGTTCCTCAGCAAGCCCTGAAATGGAGCAGGAGGGAAAAAGAGAGAGCAGGGGGATGCTTATCTTCCCCAGGTCACATCACCCTCACAGCAGTAGAGGTGGGATGGGATCCCCTCTGAGGGGCTGCTCTGTCCCGGCTGCCGTGGTGACACAACTGGGAGAGAGTGGCACCCATCTCACAGCCTTACCCTCCTGCCAGGTGTGCCAGGGGACGGTGTGAGATGGAGCAAGGAGCAGGTTTGGGGGTGGCCCCACCGTGGCTGGGGTCTGTTGTGGGTGGCAGGAGAGGGGGTGTTTGTCCAGGCCATCTCCTCTGGGGCCCTCTCCCCTCACCTTGAAGTCACTGATGTTGGCGCCGAAGCTGATCCTGCCCATGTTCTCCAGGAGCACGTCCAGAGTGTCTCCTTCCCTGCCCGTCACACGCAGCGTTGTCTGCCCGTCCCGCTCCAGTGTCCCCTGGTACTCCTGCAGCCACAGGGGCAGATCCCCCTGTCCGGAACACTGCCAGCAGCCTGCCAGCATAGCATCGCCCATCCTGCCCCACCACAGCCCACCCCTCTGCACCCCAAAGGGGGCAAATTCGGGCCAGAGGGCTGCTCCACAAGGGCTCAGTGCGGCTCTCAGCACCTGGGCTGTCCCCAAGATCCTGGCCCTGCTGCTGGCAGGTCCCACAGCCCTCCTGAGCGTTGGACCAGGGATGGGGTGTGCTCCTGCAGCCTCACCTGCTGCAGCATCACGTAGCCACGGTCGCAGACACTGTGGGGAGGAGCCCCCAGCGTGGCTGGGTCCACGACATCCCGAGGCAGCTGTGTACGGTACAGCACAAAGCCATGGACCTGCGGGACACAGCGAGTGGCACAGAAAAGGGACCAGCACACACAGGGTTGGTGATGAGCTCTGCTCCTCCACCCCAGAGCCAGGGCAGGGGAGATAAGCCTAGGAGCATCTCCCCCACCTCACCCAGCCCCTCACCTGCTTTATGGCCTCAAAGGTGAGGGGGAACTGGCTCTGGATGGGCCCAGAGGGGCACAGCACATCCAAGACATCCAGGAGGTCAGCATGCTGCAAAGAGAGGGATGGGCACAGGGCAGCTGGGCAGTGCCAGGCAGGGACAGCACAGCCCCCAGAGCAAGCACTCACCTTCTGCAGGACCACCCTGCCGTAGGCATACTTGGGGGTGGCGGGTGGCATCGGACCGACTGGCAGGGGCTGGAACTGAACAGCAAACTGTCAGCTGCCCCCCGGAGCAAGCAGGGAGATGTCCCCTGCCCTGCCACGTCCCTCTGTGTCCCCCTCTTCCCTGGCTCAGGGAGCAGGGCCTGGCACTGTCCCCCTCCCCCTGCCAGGCTCAGCACCTTGCTGATGACCGTGCGGATGGCAAACAGCTTCTCAGTGAGGTCTCCTGCCTCCGAGAGGGGGGCATCATAGTCGTAGCTGGTGGTCACTGGTTTGTACTGGTCCTTGAAGTCAGCACCTGGCCGGGGAAAGGATGGGAGCAGGAGGAAAGCGCTCTGGCAGAGCCCAGGGCATGAAACACAGCTCCAGGCTGCCTGCAATGCAACGGGGGGGGGCATGACCCAGAACTGAGACCCCCCTCCCCAGGACAGGGCCCTACTCACCGCTCCAGTAGGCGAAGTTCGTTCCCCCATGGAACATGTACCTATGGGACACCCCAGAGAGCCCTGTCAGCACCCCCCCAAACCCAAAAGGGGCATCACCAGGCAC